ATTGTCAAAGATAAATCCAAGATGAAAAGATGCATACCTGACTTCAAATTTTACATAACGTGGAGCGTAAGCTCCATGTTATGGGCTGATCTGGTCAGGCAGAATCGCCCTGAGCCTTTCTCAAACCTTACCTTAAATAATCAAAGAATTCCCTAAAGGAAGGGGGTGTGTGTGTAACAAAAGGCATTCACACTTAGTGCTGCCTGTGAAAAAGTCACACCCTTCACAGTGGTTCAAAAGATGTCTGAAGTTATATATTTATTGTTTTGATCATGTCTATTTCTGAGAGAATGAGACCATTGTACCAGTCGCACTGATACATTTCAAATGATATCAAACATGATAGTTAAAGTCAGTTTGGTTAATTTAAAACATTCAAACATTGAAATGACCATATGTGTGAATTGGGGCGGTTGAAGCCGAGTTTCAGCAGACTCAGATGCAAATGCAGCAGGAGCCGTTTTTTTCCGCATTCCCACCTGCTGGGTTGGAGTCACCAGTCTCTGTTTTCAGCTCATGTTTTGAATTGTCAAAGATATCAAAATATTTGCAATATTTCAACTCTTACACTATCTATAAGGCACAGTTATAAATAATTAACAAACTATTACATTTTATTTAACAAGTCATTTATAACTCATTAACTAGAAGTTTATTAATGATCTATTCACTAGTTATAATGGGTATTTATTCTAAAGTGTTACCCAAACATATTTCAAAAATAATTATTCAAAACACATGTTCTCTTCCAACAGGAACATTTAGTCAATCACAACACATTGACAAAAAAAACAACAACACTATAATCAGCTGACATTACAGAGACTGCATTATTGTATGTGTCAGCTCTACCCTTATATTTGAAACCTCTCTACAGTTTTGTGTTGTTGGGTTTAGTAAATTCATGCATTTTGTTTATTATGCTGCTGAAATTCAATACAAAAAATTAATGACCATCTCAGAGTAGCTTTATTAAATGTACAGTTTATGTAAAAAAAAAACAGACACAGAATTGCTGCAGTACAGACTTAATTTACAAAAGGACATCACTGAGATATACAAACAGGAAAAGCATCGCAATTATAATAAAAAACAAAAACAAAGTAATTTTCTATTCTGCTCAGTTTTCTGCCTTTACCCGGCTTCTTCTTCTCTGGCTCGGCACGGTAACTGTGGCCCTTTGGCTTTTTATGTTTCTCCTAATGCGACACCCTTTCACCAAGTTGAAACCAGGCTCATCAACATAGAAAATTTCATGTGGGACTTGATTGGCCTCCAACTCCATGACTCTCTAAAGGTAATTAGACACAGTGTATGTGAATACACTGAACGCTGAATACAAAATACTGTACTGTACTGCATATCTACTGTATTGTACTTATGAACTCCAGCTTTATAGCGTAGTTTACTGAAAAACACACTGTGTATATATACAGTAATGACTGTATTGCATAACCTTACCTGGACATATTGGTAACAGAGTTCTTTGTGCTCACTCTTCCTTTTCAAGAGGCTTCTTTTAGAACATATTATCATGTGATTGGAAAAACCTCAACACATGAGTGGGGTTTTTAGATGGGAATCAGCTATGATAACTGCAATTAATTATTTCTCATTGGCAATGGAACAAAATACATCTACAAAGACAGATGTTGTGCTAACCATATTAAGAGTTTTGGAAACTTGTTAAATGTATTTAAAAAAACTGTCATAGCAATTGTAACTGAAAACACAAAGCGGATGTGCATGTGTGTGTTTTGAGCAGAAGAGGGCAGCAGTGGTACACTCACCGTACAGCTGTTAGTTAGACAGTTTGTCTTCATTTTCAGTTCAAAGACTTTAAATTCACAGCACACTTCACACTTTTGTAATAGAAACTACAATGTTTCCAACTTGGTTTCATGCATCTTAAAGGAGAAATATAATCCAGATGCAACCCAAAAATGCATATTTGCTTGCTTTGGACTGGTTGTTGTCTGCCATTTAGAGCTGTGCTGAAATTCAAGGAAAACGAAACTACTGTAAATGTTCATTTCATTTTAATGAGTTCCCCCTTATCACACACACACACACACACACACACACACACACACACACACACACACACACACACACACACACACACACACACACACACACACACACACACACAGAGAGAGAGAGACATATAAATTAAATCAATTAAATTCAGTGTACAGTATATAAATGCTACTTGCTGTTAAGTTGTTCCTCTATAATTACAGCCAAAGGACCACTTTATTACTACAATATTTAGCCCTATAAAAATATTAACAATAATAATAAGACAGGCAAAAAGGAGAAAAAAAAACTCTTTTGCGGTAATCAATATGCTCTAGGATAGACTTGCCATATAATCACACATTACATGATATTGTCTCTTGCTATGCTCTTTGAATAAAAACACTCCACATGCTTGAGTTTCAGCTGAGGTGTCTCTGCAGCCTCCACTGTATCCAGGAGGAACATTTGTTCATGTGCTGGTTCATCATAGGCTTAAAACCTCCAGACAGAAAAAAAGTATCAGCTGCTGTTGCAGAAACAGTATACAAGCTGTTGCTTTACAGTATATTTCAAGTTTTGGACATTAAGTTTTTTTTTCTGTCATACTGTGTTTAGGCATTAGAAAAATACACAAGAAAGATCCATAATTTTGATAAGGGGTAAGTTGGTGTAAAATGAAACTGTAAGCATATTAGAATCATGTCAGTTAACTGAATATTGTGCGAAAATAACATGAATTGCGTTTCCGGTACGGTCACAATAGACTGATGTTGTGTGTTAAGAATTTTAAAAACGTTAATACAGATAGGACAAAGTATGTTAGCAATTCAATTTGAAAAAATGTAAACGAGTTAAAAAAATGCTAGGATCCATGCTATTCCTTAATGTTGCCCCAATGCAAATTGATTAAGTTAACTTAATTGTTCCTACTAATTAAGCAGATTGAACATGAAACAATTAAGTAGTCCCAAAACACTTGAAAATTATGTTGAACTCATTTAAATAAGTTTAAACAAGCAGCAAAACATATGTTTTGAGTTTAAGCAAATCATATCTAACTGAAATGTTTTAATCATAATAAAGACGTAGATTTTTTGCTTCAAAAACAAAGAAATGGGATGCATGAGGAAGCTGTGCGCTCATTATGCTTTCAGTTTATTAATGTTTATAGTAGCCAGCTGATCTGCAGCTCAAGTCGAGTCACTGTATTTCTGTAGTACATTCCACAAGACAGAATGTGTTAAAGCAGATTCACAGAGATCAACTGGGGAGACTGAAGATTTAAATATCATTAACATTGTGAGGTCCAATAATTTTAATTGTGCATTGTTTAAAACCAGTGTCATTGTTGCAATGGGTGATTCAGCTACAATAGTTTTAGAGGACAATAGTGCAAGCATCTGGCTTATTCAGGTCAAATTCTCAAATTCTATTCTCATCAGATGTTGTCAGTCAGTCAGTGACTTTTTTGATATATGATTCAGTTTATTTTGAATTTATTTTATTGGTATCCCCTTGAGATGTACTGTATCATCTCATTTTCTACAGGGTCCCTCCATGTATCACAATCAACAAAAAGACAACAAAACACAAACAAACAAACAAACAAACATTAAGTCAAGGGGAAAAGCATTGAGATTAAAAGATAAGAAGCAAAACAGAATACAACATATACAGATCAGTGAATCTGATTACAAAATAGTCAATAACACCTTCAAAAAAAAAAAACATGTACAAAAAAGAAAAATATGAGAATAAAGTTTGCATTAAAAAAAGAGTTGCATAATAGCAATAAAATGACACAAGGAGAAAGTACTAAACTGCTGAAACACATTTAATACTTCAATGATAGCAGCTTAAAGATGGCACTCATATAAAGTTATATACTGTGCATTACAGTCCTTTTTTTACAGACTTTAACAGAGTTTAAAAATCTTGCTGGTTCTGTTAGTCTCTTCTATCAAATCTTTGATTTGTATTTTCTATTGGATTGAAGTCAGGTGATTGGCTGGGCCATTCTACAGCTTTGTTTTCTTTCTCTGAAAGCATTTGAGCATTTCCTTGACTGTGTTTTGGATCATTGTCTTGCTGTAATGTCCAATAATAAGGCAACAGTTTCATCTTCATTCTCCTGTTATAGATGTTGTACTGAAGCAGCTAATATTAATTTACAATGACAAAGGGCAAAGGATTGCTAAACAATGCCTCATTCACACTAGCAACAACTTTGTTGCTGCCTGTCACTCTGGGTGGTGACCTGCTGCAAACGCAGGTCTGTGTAGGTCTACAGCATGGAGAATACAACCTGATCACTTGAGCTCTACTGGTGCTCTTATTGGCTGTCGCTCAAGAAAGTCTCTCTTTTTTGCATTAAGTTGAAGGATTCTCAACTTTGTTGTGTCACTCGACACGCTCTGCTGGAAGTCGTTCACTCTTCATTGAAATGAACCGTCGCTTGAAACTTTGACACTGCAAGTTGTTCGTAGTGTGAATGAGGCTTAATTACTGAGAGAATTCAGCTGCTGTCTGGGCATTTACTGCCTTTCAATACCTCCTTTTCTTCAAGTGTTCAATACTTTTCCCTGTCATTTCATTTTAATAGGCGTAACATAATTATAATTGGTAAACTAATTATATTTGTTTTCTTTGCATATATGTATTACGTTGGTTGTTACCAACATCTAGGGAAAATTTCTAGTCAACTGCACGTTTTTTTGAGAACAATTGTGGTGTTCAATACTTATTTTCCCTGCTGTATATATTCTTTTAAAATGTATAGTCTGGCAATTGAAATAAAAAGAAATAAACGCCTCCAAGTAATCATTAATACACAATCAGTCATAAAGTAATAAAAAGGAATAAGTCCTGTCATATTGTGCTCTTTTATAGTCTGTGACAAGACTTTATGACATTTATGTGCTGCACAAAAGAATAATTGTTTATTTTAAATATTAATTTATTTGTGCTCTCTCCGACAGGATATGACCTATCTGTGCATTAATGCAGCTGATGCCTCCAGTCAAAACTTGTAAGTTACAGTACATACACTGCACAACAAGCTTTTTACACAATGCTTGGATAGAAACACTGAATCATGTTTAGAAAGACCTGTTGTACAATGTGTACAACACTAATTTGAAATGACAGCTTTTCCTCATAGTCACATGACCTTCTTATGATGAGTGTGTATGCTTGTTGGTGTGTGTACATAAATTATATCTTTAGTAAATGTTATTGTTCGAAACATCTTTTTGAAATGTATTCTCATTATAGCATTATGCTTCCTTCTTGTTTGCTTTGGATTCATAATTTTGCCTTCTTTCAAAGTTGTATGTGTGGATAAACTTGGATGGATTTATTTGTTTTTATTAATTAATTAATTAATTAATTTTATTTATGTATGTATTTATTTTTTTATTTTTGATATGACCACTGTGGTTAGTTTGTTGAGTGTTTACACTGTTTTTGATCTTGTCATTTCTCTACATCGTGAACACACAGGGTTGTAAACAGTGGTGGAAAGAGTACTGAAAGTCATACTAAAAGTACCATTACTTGTTAATAATGTAGTGCAAGTAGAGTAAAAGTAGTTAAGTACATCAATATATGAGTAAAATCTGCATTTTTAAAGCAGTAGTAGTGAGCATTATACTGTAAAAATAATTCCATTTTCGACCCTGCAAATTAAAAATGTACCTTCCATCAGTGCCATTTTCTTGTAACACTTGTGTGCTGTTGGTGATGTATTTATCCATTTCGGGGTGATTTTGAGTCTTAATTTGGCCACAAGTTTCTGTGTTTAAACAAATGGAATGACTTTTGGTGACGCATCTTATTTTGAGTCATATATTCATATACTTTGGGATTTTTCAAAAACTCAACAATACATATTGGGCAAATTTACTTACTCTTTTTGTTAGTGGCTGCTCTTGCCCCATTGACATCCATTATAACAAAGTGTGTGTGTGTGTGTGTGTGTGTGTGTGTGTGTGTGTTTGTGTGTGTGTGAGTGAGAGAGAGAGAGAGAGAGAGAGAGAGAAATGGAGTGTGTGAAAATGTAAGAGAAACCTTTGCACACATATATAGTATACACATATATCACACATATAGTTTTACTCCAAATAAAAGGCAGAAAGCAGGCCTATCTAAAAGCTTAATGGTGCCAACCGATGATCAACAGTAAACATGAAAAATTTTACCTCTTCCCAACAAGGAAAACCACCAACAATGAAAAAGATATGGTTATATGCAATCAAGAAATGTTGTTAATATGGAAGTAAATGGGGCAAAAACAACCACTGACATATCAAAAGGGTAGTCAATTAGAATAGTCCACAAGAGTTACAAGTGTTTATAAGTGTAAGTTTAGGTGATTTGGCATTCATGGACTATACATTTAATTAAAATTACAATATACAAATTAATTTATGTGAGAACACGTCATATGTGCACTTTTAATAAGTGTATGTATCTATGTAACTTAAGGGGAACAAATCCAACACAGGCTCATTAGAAATATGTACCTCAGTCTACATTTTTGTGAAAATACAAATAGGTACTTGAACATAAGTACCATTCAATCAATTATTTTCTTGTCAGCTTAGTCCCTTTATTAATCCGGGGTTGCCACCGCGGAATGAGCCGCCAACTTATCCAGCACGCTTTTAGGCAGCGGATGCCCTTCCAGCCACAACCCATCTCTGAGAAACATCCATCCACATACACGTATTCACACACACACTCATACACTACGGACAATTTAGCCTACCCAATTCACCTGTACCGCATGTCTTTGGACTGTGGGGGAAACCGGAGCACCCAGAGGAAACCCACATAAACGCAGGGACAACATGCAAACTAAACTATCATTATTTCTCTTTAAAGGACCGTTATGTTGCCTAGTTACGAGACCTGTCAATAATCTCCTCACTGCACATTGATTCAAACATAATTATCTTATCGGAGATTCGGCAGCAGGATAATTATGCATTCAGAAATGATTAGCCAAACACGTCTTTAAAAATGTTGTTCCTGATGAAACATTAAATGGAATACGTTTGACTATATTTACTCAGTCCACTCGGTTGGTCTTGCCATGTTCAACCAGTCTATGAGGTAAAGTCTAGAAGGGATACAGCTGCGGACACACACATCAATTTAGCCTCCATCTTTTATCTAACACTGTATAACAATAATTAATAGTTTACAGTACTGTGACGGTTGGGTTTAGGGTCGGGGTGGAAGTAGGGGTTAATAAAATAAAGTTTATTGGGTAATTTAATAAATAACATGTATAATACTCGGTACAGTTACTGTTTTTAAATTTTTGTAACGGTTGGGTTTAGGATTGGGGTAAGGACTTTAATAAAATATAATAAATGAGAAATTTAATAAATCTCATTACCTTTCAGCCGTGACCGTATCAGAGGCGGACTGGGACAAAAATTTAGCCCTGGCACTGTAGCCACTTCAGCCCACATTACCACACAGACACAGCCTCAATCATGGACATGCACATTCACTACTTATATTGGTGTACAGATGCTGAAATAATATAAGCAGTGCTATTTAAACATTTACTTTATGTAACTGGAACAAAAACAACCCGTTTATAACAAATTTATACATACAGTATTAGTCTCCACTTTCCTTCCTAATCTGCAATTGCCTCTCTGGTTCTACCGCTAACTGTATTAAAGAAAATAAATACATAAATAAAAAATTACTAATGTTCTGCGTCTTACAATTTACATACCTGAAACTTGCCTACAGCACTTATTGATTGTTGCTCTTAGTTGTGTAAATTGCTTCCTTGTCCTCATTTGTAAGTCGCTTTGGATAAATCGTCTGCTAAATGACTAAATGTAAATGTAAACACAGAAAAGCTAACTGACAAGGGCTAGAACCAGCGACCTTCTTGCTGTTGCTGTTGCTGTTGCTGCGACAGGACTACCTACTCCGCCACTGCATCTATATTTATAATGAATGCTACAGGGTTTGTATGATGCCAATAACACTTGTTCCTTTTCACACTAATGATATTTACATGAACATATTATATATAAACAATTATTTTCATACAGTTCTTTGCACAATAGAGTGGAGGAACTAGTTAGAGTTAGCATTTTAGCACTTCCGGTTCCCTCGTCTTAAAGTCAAATGGTTTTTTGAATGGGGTTTGAGTAAAATCGCTTAAATAAGGTCCGTGGCTAACACCAACTCAAGATACTTTCACGTTTTGTTCTACGACATAAAACACATCAGTTACAGCACACTCTTCAACTTTTAAATCGATTATGCTTCTTTAAAAAGACGGTTGCTATCAAGTTGCTAAATGGGACTACAGGCGGCGTCGGGGACAATAAACGTCATCGAGCTTATCTGGTCTGGAGCGCAGCTCGCTTGTGTTGGGCGTTTGGATTTGTCTGTGATTTAGGTATTTTCATGAGTAATATTTTATAGTTTGTTGTATTATTCTAATTGAGAATTTAGATTGTGTGTAGATAATTCCTTCACTTATAAAGGCTGTCGAGACAGACTAATTTGTTGATCATTTATTTTAATTAAACGATATTATGAAGATACTGCACACCAGTGCAACAGCCTGTTTCTTTCCTGCTCTCAGTAATGCAAACGTGTGAATAAATGTGTAAAAATACATGAATGTTAACTGTCATTTTAACGTGATCAAGTGATTTCTCGTCTTTTTTTCATCATCTGAACACATTTAACTGCAGTATACACTCCTTTATAAAACGTTCAGCAGATGTGACTGTATAGGCTGCTTTTCGCTGTACTTCGTGACAAAAAAGAAATATTGAATGTTGCTCTGTGTCCATGATGATGGAACTTGCAGGCATTTGATTGACTTGTTTCTCCTCACGCCTCATTTCTGTCGTCTGTTTAAGGTACGCGGGCTGTGTGCACGCGAACGATACACTTATTTAAATATGTCTTATAATAATGCTATATAGGCACTAGGGATGTAACGGTATTGTAAATACCGTCATACCGCAATATTAATTTTTTTCGATATTACCGAAGTCGTATGACTCGGTAAAACTATAGGTCTTCTGAGAAAATTTGCTCAGGCGAATGAAGCGAACGGGAGGTAGCTTAAACTACATTTCCCATCAGCCCAGGCGTGGCCATAATCCTTTGCGGTCTGCTGTCGCTACAGATCCAGTAATGCGGAAATGGAGTGTGCTGCTAGTAGCGGAGATGAAAAAAAGATGGAAATGATCGAACCTAAAGCGGGTGTTGTCGCCGCGCGCGTACTGAATAGCAGTGTTGTCGCGCGCGTTCTGATCAGCTGTGTTGTCGCGAGCGTATTGTAAAGCGCCGAGGGGGGGTTGAGCGCGCATTCTCAAGAGCGGTGTTGTCTACTGAAGGGCTGGACGGAGGTTGTGTCGCGTCGCGGGGGCACTTTTGATCATTTTGGAAGGGCACTTTCTATCCAAGACTAAAAAGGGCATGTGCACTGCACAGGTTGAGCCCTATGTGTGCACGTGCCTGCAAGTTGGTGAATACGACTAATAGCAGTCATGGGGACTGCAGAAACATAGCACACTGTTCAGATTGATGCAGACATTGACTTGTACCGCAAAGAGACCTCTATCTCACTCATGGTTTGTCTTCTCAAGTGGGGGAAAGACAATGCACAACGTTACCCACTGCTGTCAACATGGGCCAAGTCATATCTCTGTCCCAGAATCCTCAGTCCCAAATGAGAGGGTTTTTTTCTGTTGCAGGGGACATTGTAAATACCCAGAGATCCCAGCTTTTACCAGATTATAGTTATATGATAATTTTCCTTTAAACCCATCTCTATCTAAGTAAGTGAGTGAGTGATTAAATGTTGAATGTGATGAGTTTTCAACAATACTAAATTGAAACTTTATTTTTTTACATGGTTTAATAATTTTTTGTTATTAAAATTGAAGTTCCTGTTTCAAAGCTTACAGATAGATGACTAATTTGTATGTCATTGACACTTTTGGCACTTTTTTGGAGTATTTTCATAAGTTT